AGGCGCTGAGCCCCCTTTTCCTTTTCAAAGCCCATATCACTTCCACTCACATTGGCCAGTCTACTGTTCCTTAACCATGCTTGGCTGCAAGGAAGACTGGGAAATAAAATCTTTAGCAAGATGACTGTGTGCCAAGAAAAACTAAAGAATAGGAGAACAGACAATTAGGAACAACTAGTAGTATCTTATCCCACCATCACCTCCTAGATTCCAGTTGGTCAGGCTGGAAGCACCAAGAGACTACCTGTTCTCATCTCTATTCCTGCAATTTTCACAGACTACCACCAGGTGGCAATGGTGACTTAATTGAAACCTGGTGATTTATTAATAGTTTCCAGTTGGTAGGGTGTGTGTGCTTAGTGAAAAAATAAAGCACATTTTCTTTTCTTTGAGACAGAGTCTCACTTGTTGCCCTTGGTAGAGTGCCATGGTATCACAGCTCACAACAACCTCAAACTCTTGGTCTCAAGCGATTCTCTTGTTTCAGCCTCCTGACTAGCTGGGATTACTGGTACCTACCACAATGCCCAGCTATTTTTAGAGACGGGGTCTCACTCTTGTTCAGGCTGGTCTGAAACCTGTGAGCTCAAGCAATCCACTTACCTCGGCCTCCCAGACGGCTAGGATTATAGGCATGAGCCACCACGCCCGACCCAAAGCACATTTTCTTACTCAGTTAAACCTTACTACATTTTTAAAAATTCATTAAGAAGCAACATTAAAGTGCACTATATTTTTACAATTTAAACTACAAATTAAACTAAGTATTGTTAGTCATATTGGACACATAATAAACTTTTTTTAACCCACTTAAGCAGAGCACATGATGGTTTTGAATGCAGTAGAGAAGAGTATCTGATTCTAGTGCATTTAAGACTGGTCTGGGGCCACAATTTGAGATCAATAGACCCCCTCCCCAAGAAGCCCACCCCCCTTCTCTCACCTCATCTTTTGGCAGCAACTTCGACAACAAGAGGCCTCAGGAATTGACCTGGAAGAGAAGGAAGAGGTGGAAAACAGTGAAGGTGAGCCCTGGAATCCTGGACCTCTGCCTCCTCCTCCCTGCCCCACTTACCATCTGCTTCTTTCCCCTCCCACCGGTCCTCACAGGTTCAGTAGCCAGGGGCAGACAGCAGTAGGAGTCTCAGGGTACCAGGGTATTCTAAGGCCTTATCTAGAGTGGCTTTTGCTTTGACCAGTTCAGCAACCACAGTGATGGACAAACATTTAGGGCCATAGAACATCAGAGCTGGAAGGGTCCTCAGAGATCTTCCCATCCAACATTTTCCAGACCTTTTTTCATAGAAGAATATTGTTGAGCATTCTGGAGGGAAGAGAGGGTTCTGTGGTCAAATTAATTTAGGAAATGCTGATTTAGGCAGGTTCCTTTGTTGCAAGATTTCTCGGAGCCTTTAATATGCAAACATTATCATAAATCTCTGAAAGGAAGATACAGTATAAAATATCTCCCCGGCTTATTAGACTACAGTAGGTTTTCTTCTAACACATTCCAACCTTGCCTATACCTGGCACTCCATTCAATGCGGCTTGGAAAATGCAAACAAAATGACCTTGTTGCTATTATGGACAAGAAGAGTGAGGCAAGTGAGAAGGCACAGTGCCATGCAGCGACAGGCCTCCTGACAGCAACCCTGCTCTCCTTTCTGCCCCGCTCTGCCAAAGGGCATGACAACAGTCTATACAAGCTCCCATGCATGATGTCCCTGTACCTGCATGAGGCAGGCATGCCAGGGAGTATCGTCTGCACTTCACAGATGAGTACACTAAGACCTGAGAAGCTTCATTAGTAAATTGGGCTCAATTGGCCTTGACCCCCAGCCTTCCTGCTCTGATCATTTCTGCCCCACCTTTCCACTAAGCTTAAAAGGAGGCCTCCTTTTCTGCTTCTGGCCAGGCCTGAAGGGGCCGATGAAGGGCAAGGAGAAGACAAAGGCGGCCAAGGAAGAAAAGAAGAAGAAGAACCAGAGCCCTGGTCCTGGTCAGGGGTCTGAGGTCCCAGAGAAAAAGAAACCCAAGATTGATGAGCTTAAGGTGAGCCCTCACCTTAAGCCAGGTAGCTGGGGGAGTGAGGTGGAAGATGGGGCAGGACTAAAGACAGTGGACAAGCAGTGGACCTCTGGACCCTGATGGCTTGGCCTGGCTCAGGTGTACCCCAAGGAGCTAGAGTCTGAGTTCGACAACTTTGAGGACTGGCTTCACACTTTCAACCTGCTGCGGGGCAAGACTGGGGATGATGAGGATGGCTCTACCGAGGAGGAGCGCATCGTGGGCCGGTTCAAGGTCAGGGGAGAGTATGGGGCCAGACCCTGAGCACCCCTACCACCTCAAGTTATTTCCCTTACCCTCCCCACTGTCCTAGCCACTCCCTTTAGAACTCACGGATTTCCCATGGCCCACCAGCTAAAGAGCTAAGGCTCTGCTCCAGAAGTGTCCAGACCTTTCGGTGCTGTTAGCTATTTTGAATGGCACCCCTGCCTGTGCCCGAGGAAGTCTGCACCCTGACCCATACTTGCCTTGCCTCAGGGATCCCTCTGCGTGTACAAAGTACCACTCCCAGAGGATGTATCCCGGGAAGCTGGCTACGACCCCACCTGTGGCATGTTCCAGGGCATCCCAAGCAATGACCCCATCAACGTGCTGGTCCGAGTCTATGTGGTCCGGGTGAGACTTCCATCATCTCTCCTCCCTCCAAGTCTTTCAGGCCTCCTGTCCAGAAGGGACTAAAGCAGATACAAACTGCCCACCCCACACTGGGAGGCACAGGGAGGCCGTCTTGTCTAGTCCCCACCTTTTTTAGAGGAGGAAGCTGAGCCCAGAGAGGGACAGCAACTTGCCTAGAGTCACACTGCAAATCTCCTGACTCTGGTATAGTGCCCCTGGCCCCAACCTTCCCCATTGTGGGACCCTCGGGCAGTCAGGTAGGTGCCCTGGCAGATGACCCATGTGTGGGAAGCCTGCTCAGGCAGCTCTCCCATCCCAGGCCACGGACCTGCACCCCGCAGACATCAACGGCAAAGCCGACCCCTACATCGCCATCCGGCTAGGCAAGACTGACATCCGCGACAAGGAGAACTACATCTCCAAGCAGCTCAACCCTGTGTTTGGAAAGTGAGGCCTCTCGGTGCCCTTCCCCACCCCAACTTTCTCAGTCCACCCATTTACCCTTCTCCTAACCCAATCCGCCAGGTCATTTGACATCGAAGCCTCCTTCCCCATGGAATCCATGCTGACAGTGGCAGTGTATGACTGGGACCTGGTAGGTACAGATGACCTCATTGGGGAAACCAAGATTGACCTAGAGAACCGCTTCTACAGCAAGCACCGAGCCACTTGTGGCATCACCCAGACCTACTCCATGTACGTGGGAAGTGGGGCAGGGGGTGGGGTGTGCCTGTTGCACCTCAACTCTAAAACAAGATTCAGAGCGTGGTGATTTGGGAAGGCAGACATGTTATGGTCTCTGTCTGAGGCCAGGCCTCTGTCCCTATAGGCTCTGCACACAGACTTCAGGGGTCAGGACTATGGATTCTAAGACAAGGAGAGGGCCAGGGTGTTTCAGCACAGGAGAGGCAGAGGTTCCAGAGGAGGCAGGACAAAGAGAGAAGACTGAGCTGGGAGGGGGAGATAGGCAGAGGAGGGGGGAAAGAGTCCACTGAGGATGGGCCAGCCTCTGCCCTGTATAAACTGTGTGACCCTAGTCGAGTCCCTTAATCTCTCTGGTTTTCAGTTTGCTCATGGAAGTCTTTGAGGTTCTAGAAGAGTGGGCACAGTTGAGGATGGAGTAGGGCTGAGTTGGGAGGACACTGAGAATGTGGGTTGAAGCCCTAGGATTTCAGGCCCATTCACTGACGAGGTGTGACAGTCAATATCAGAGAACTGGCCACAACCAGCTGCTGCTAGAGATGGCTCAGTCCCAGCCAAGTCCCAACAAGCCGGTTGTGTCCCTTCATGCAGACATGGCTACAATATCTGGCGAGACCCCATGAAGCCCAGCCAGATCCTGACCCGCCTCTGCAAAGACGGCAAAGTGGACGGCCCTCACTTTGGGCCCCCTGGGAGAGTGAAGGTGGCCAACCGTGTCTTCACTGGGCCTTCTGAGATCGAGGATGAGAATGGTAATGGGGCACTGGGTGGAGCCATCTGCTGTCCTTCCAGGGGGTTCCAGAGGCCAGGAAGGACCAACACTTCCCTCTTACCTGGGCTCTCCATCATAACATCCCAGTAGCAAAGGGAGGTTATCCCCATTCTACAGAGGAGCAAAAAGATCCAACAAGTTTCAGTGACTTGCCCAAGGTCAAGTTGCTCTTTAGAGGAAGAGTGAGGGCCCAGGTCCATCAGACTCCAAACCCTAGGCTCTCTCCACTTCTCTGCCCATGGGCACTTCCCAGAGAATCGAGAGGAATCTGTGCTGGGAAACTTATGGTGATCAAGGTGCTAGGACAAGAAGTGGATTCTCCCTTCCCTGACCCCTCTCTCACAGCCCAGCAAGGTTCTCTGGTCAGCTTCCGCAAGAGTGTACCAAGAGCACAGACTTTTCTTGGCCCTATGTGCCAAGCTGAGAACTTAGGCAAGCCACTTCTCCAGCTGGGCCTCAGTTTCCCCAATAGTAAAATGGTGGGGGTGGACAGGTGATAGCTCAGGGGCTTCTCTGTGCTCCTAAATCCCCTGCCCCAGTAAAGATCATTTGGTTCTGCTGAGCGCGTGTGCAGCTGATCCACCCGCACCCACAGGTCAGAGAAAGCCCACAGACGAGCACGTGGCATTGTGCGCCCTGAGGCACTGGGAGGACATCCCCCGTGTGGGCTGTCGACTGGTGCCAGAACATGTGGAGACAAGGCCACTGCTCAACCCTGACAAGCCAGGCATCGAGCAGGTGACACTTGGCTGCAGTCTGGGGTTCTTGAGTATTTGGGCTCAGGGATTCCCAATCTGGGTCTGGAAAGGTAGAAGTCACCTTGCCTAGAAAGCCTGGCAGGGGCCTCCCTACAAAGGTCCCTCAGAGTAACTTGAATGGCAAGTGTCATTGCTTTGTGTGAGAATAAGGTCAGCTCAGCTCAGTAGAGACCCAGGTTGTCCCCCTCAGAAGCTGTGACTGGCTATTGTTGACATCAGAGGAATTCCTGGCATCCAAAGATGAAGATTGGTGAATGGGTCCTTGACAAAACTAAGGTTAGGAGAGAGAACAGAACTGACCTCCCTGGACAAGAAAAGTCCCTGGGAGATCTGCCATGCCCCCTTTTCCTCAGGGCCGCCTGGAGCTGTGGGTGGACATGTTCCCCATGGACATGCCAGCCCCTGGGACACCTCTGGACATCTCTCCCCGGAAACCCAAGAAGTGAGCTGCCCGGGTCCAGCACTGCTCCCTCCCATCCCATCCCATGCACTTAGACCAGTCCTTCTTGTGGACTGCTCAGGCCCAGAGGACTAGTGGTCAAATGCGTTCCTTAGGCCCTGGGTGTGGCCACCAGGCCATGTGAAGGAGAAACCAACCAATCAGTAGAGTCTAAGGCTGCTCTGGTGGATCCCCATTGGCTACTGCAGAGGCCACACACATCCATTCTCACTGAGCCACACCCCTGCACCCTACAGTGTGCGACACGTGTGGACACCCCCTGAGACCTCCAGAGAGTACTCGCCCACACATCCACATGGATGCACTAGCTCGTAAGACACAGGCCCTGAGATCCCACTCTGTATCGCCCTCATATTCAGGCTAGTGTGAAGTTCAACCAGGTTTCTGGCAAAATGCCTGCCCATGACATGTGAAGTTAAGTGCCTGAGAGAGGCGTGAGGTGGTAGACCAGAAGGAGCACCAGCTCAGCAGCCAGGTCACTTTGCCTCTTCTAGCTGATTTTGGCTGGGTCCCTTTGGCTTGTTTTTCCCATTTGTGAAGGGGCAGGTTAGAGTCACTACTAGCTCTGACAGCTTCAGTGTATTCAGGGCCAGTTTCATGGGCATAGGAAGCCCACGCCCAGAGAGGCCCTGCTCTTGTTTCCATGCTTTGATACTGCCCCCATGAAATTCTTAATGATTTCTTAACAAAAGCTCTGCTTTTCCGTGTTGCACTGGGGGGGGGGGGCAAATTGTGCAGCCAGCTGTGCCTAGACAATCTTCCAAGCCCAAGGCTACCATTCCATTGTTCCAGGACCTACCTCTAAGAGGCACCCGAACTTGTTGATCACTCTGAACTTGTGGTCCAGAGCGTCAGCCTGTTTCTGTACTCTCCGTGGAGAGCCATGCGCCCATCAATTTTTAGCTGATGACCCAAACTCACTCCTAGTGATTGAAACATAACTATGTTGTTCATAATTACTATTAAACCCGAGGAGATAATCCTCTTGGAGGACAAGGGATAGAGAAAGCCAGATTTCGTGGACTTCTATTTCTGGCTCTTAGGCTTAAACATTGAACTTGTCTTGGAACTGCAGGGAAGTGTCTAGCCTCTGAGACAGCAAGTACTTGCTCCTGACACCCCAGGCCTTACTTCAGCCACCACAGCAGCCATCCTTCTCCCTATCCCTGTCCTCAGTCAGCTGGACAGTGCTCTGAGTCTCTGAGCTCCAGCCAGACTACCTTTCTCCAGGGCAGGGGCAGAATCTCTGTAGACAGCCATGTGCCTGGCTTCCTCTCCTGCTCACTGCAGGGCCCCACTGGACAGAAGCCTCCCTCGGCCCCAGTCTGACCCAGGCCCCAGGCTAAGCCCAAGTCCCAGGTTCTTCCTGTCATTTCATTTCCAGCCCCTGCCCCATCCTTGCTCCAGGACCCAGTATAACCCTGACCCTCAGGCTCCTGTCTGGCCCCTCTCCCCCCACCCAGGTATGAGCTGCGGGTCATAGTGTGGAACACAGATGAGGTGGTCCTGGAGGATGATGATTTCTTCACTGGGGAGAAGTCCAGTGACATTTTTGTGCGGGGGTGAGTGAGAGGGCGCAAAGACAGCCAAGCAAGGACAGCCTCCTTCCTGGGAGGCAGGAGAGGAGGTGGAAGGGGGCCTGGGGTGGGGAGAGGACCAGCTAGGTGTGGCCACAGGTCTGGAAGTGTGGTGCCCTGCAGGTGGCTGAAGGGCCAGCAGGAGGACAAGCAAGACACAGATGTCCACTACCATTCCCTTACTGGTGAGGGCAACTTCAACTGGCGCTACCTGTTCCCCTTTGACTACCTGGCAGCGGAGGAAAAGATCGTCATCTCCAAGAAGGAGTCCATGTTCTCCTGGGATGAGACTGAATACAAGATCCCCGCGCGGCTCACTCTGCAGATCTGGGATGCTGACCACTTCTCTGCTGATGACTTCCTGGGTGTGAAGCAGGGAGGGGTGGGGGCCTGGGATCCAGAACTCAGGCAGGTCAGGGGTGGCAGGAGGTAGGGAGGGGAAGAGCTGAGCCTGGGGTTTGGAGCATCATTCCTTCCCATCTGTCAGAGCCGGAGGCATCAGACGGGCCTCTGGTCCCCCAAGGACCCACCCAACCATGCCCCAGCAGATATTTTCAGTGTCATAACTGGCTGACAAGGTGTGTTGAGCACAACAAGGAGGGGATAGTCAGCGCTGAGGGGGTATCTACAAGGCTCCTTGAGGGAGTCAGGAAACTTCCTTGGGCCTTAGTTTGTTCCTCCATAAAGCAGCGTTTCCCCCTAAAGCTCTAGTCTGCATATGCAAGCTTGTGGGCCTATGGGATTAGCAGGCTTTAACAGGGGTGGGGTATGGTGGAGAGACAAGGCTGAAGGAAGGATCTGAGCAAAGTGGGGGGGGTGTGAGGACAGTTACCCAGAGAGCCCTCCAGAGTGAAATGTAGGATGAGATACAGGCTCAGAGCAGGCTGCATTCAACCTGCAAGGGGCCAAGGAGGTCAGAACCCCACCCCCCAGCACGGTCACCCAAAGCTGATGCTGAGATTGCCACAGGGGCCATCGAGCTGGACCTGAACCGGTTCCCACGGGGTGCAAAGACAGCCAAGCAGTGCACCATGGAGATGGCCACCGGGGAGGTGGACGTGCCTCTGGTTTCCATCTTCAAGCAGAAGCGTGTCAAAGGCTGGTGGCCCCTCCTGGCTCGCAATGAGAATGACGAGTTTGAGCTCACGGTGGGCTCATCCCCTATTCTGGCTATGAGCAGTGGGCATGGCTGGGCCCACCTGGGGTGCTGAGGGCCCAACACCTAGCCTGGGCACTGAGACCTTTCTGTCCTCTGCAGGGCAAGGTGGAGGCTGAGTTGCATTTACTGACAGCAGAGGAGGCAGAGAAGAATCCAGTGGGCCTGGCCCGCAATGAACCTGACCCCCTGGAGAAACCCAAGTGAGTACCCTGCCTACCTGGCCCCCCTGCCAAGAACAGGTCTTAGAAGCACTGGAACAGGAAGGAGGGGCCAGAACTTTCCAGTATTCTTGCGCCTGCTCCCCAGGCACCCTCTCTGTCCCTTTCTGGGCTACTGGCCTCATAGCAGGGAAGCCCACTTTCTCCCCTCTGCCACCCCTGCTCTATACCATCTCCCTCTGAACCAGAGAACAGCACACAGGGAAGCAGTTCCTCTCCTGGGGGAGGCGCCTCTGAGCAGAGCTGAATGTTTGTCCAGGGTTTTGCTGAAGCAAGCAGCGCCTTTGGTGAATTTAGAGCCCCAGCCAGCTTGGTCAGGGAGGAGCCCAGAACACCACACACTCAACCCAGCTCGGCTTCACTGTTGGCTGGGGGCTCACAACACCCCACCCCTCCTCCTCCCTGTCCTTTCTTTGTGCTCTCTGCTCTTGCAATGCTCTAGCCGGCCCGACACCAGCTTCATCTGGTTTCTGAACCCCCTCAAGTCTGCCCGCTACTTTTTGTGGCACACCTATCGCTGGCTGCTCCTCAGACTGCTGCTGCTCCTGCTGCCGCTGCTCCTCCTCGCCCTGTTTCTCTGCTCCATGCCTGGCTACCTGGTCAAGAAGATCCTTAGGGCCTGAGCCCACAGCCTCCTGGGTCTGATACTTCTCCCTCCTTTCTCTGGACCAAGGGCTGGGCAGCATATAGAACACACTTGCATGTGTACACACAGGCACACACATGCACATATGCACACACATACACACAAGCACTTTACACATGCACCCACATGTACGTCGTCCACACACTCTCATGTGCACATATGCAAATACATGCACACATGAGAGCCTACATATACACGACAACTTTCAAGCTTTCAATACAGAATAATAGATTCTCAGAACTAGAAATGACAATTTACATTTTAACATATTCGGCCAGAGAGGTGTTGTAACTCACCCAAGGTTACTCAGCAGATTAAGAAAAAGCTGGGACTGAAGCTTAGATTTCCAAATCACCAATCCAGAGTTCTTGACACCACACCCTTTCCTCTCCCAGCAACTTCTCTGACAGCCTCTAATTCAACTGGCAGAAAGGAGAAAGGATTTGGCTGGATTGGCCAGCAAGTCTGAAAATAGTTCCCACTGGGGTGTGACCCCCCCAAAGGCCCTGCAGCCTAATAGTTCCATTCCGCTCAAACATGTATCATCTACAGCTTCCTAAGCACCCACTCACGTACTCAGAGCTCCATAGACATTTTCTTCTTCATGTGTCCTCAGGCCCAAGAGGTAGGGACCACTACTAACTCATTTTAGAAATGAAGAAACTGAGGCTTGTAGAGGTGCCTGTCACAGCATTCACAACCAGGTGTCCTGTGCCAGGTCCCTTCATGTGGCCCTACCAATACTGAGCTCAACTCCTGGGGTGCAGTCCACAGCCTCTACGAGATAGTAGTTTTAAAAGGCACATTTAGTCCTTTAATTTTATATCTTGACATTTTATGAGACTTTTTTTTTTTTGAGACAGAGTCCCACTATGTCCCCGTCGGTATAGTGCCATGGCATCACAGCTCACAACAACCTCCAACTCTTGGGCTTAAGAGGTTGGCCTCAGCCTCCCAAGTAGCTGGGACTATAGGCGCCCACCACAATGCCCAGCTATTTTTTGGTTGTAGTTGTCATTGTTGTTTAGCAGGCCCGGGCTGGATTCAAACCCGCCAGCCTCGGTGCATGTGGCCGGCACCATAACCACTGTGCCATGGGCACTGAGCCATGAGACCTATTTTAAAAGGACAGATAGTGAAGCTGGGCAAGTGTGTCTTGGCTAGGAGGCTATGCAGCACTGGCGGTGGGCAGGTCGGCAAGGGTGGTGTGTGCCCCGGCCAGGCCTGGGGGGGAGGGTCGGAAGTTTATGTCCATCAGATAGGACAAGGCTGAGAAACACTGGTCTCACTGAGGACATGGACAGCACACAGAGTGGACTGCTTACCACAGGAGCCTGCTGATGGTCAGAACTGTGGGCAGTGGGTGCTATGGCTGCACATTGCTGCTGGCACCAGGTAGCAGCTGGATGGCTGCCCTGCTGCCAAAAATGCCGTGTAGGCCTGGGGAGGAGATGGGGGCACCAGAGGTCCTGCAGGGAGGATGGGATTTTATAAGTAGCAAATCTAGTGTTCGGATGTGGGCTCAAACCCTGGCTTTGGTACTCACTGCTTTGGGGGCTATGTCAGTGACAGGACCTCTTAGGGTCTTGAAGGCTGAGCAGTAGGGTGCCAGGGAGCATCCCACAGCCTAACTGGCTCCTCCCTCCACTCCCCAGCCGGCCCGACACAGCCTTCGTCTGGTTCCTCAACCCCCTGAAGTCCATCAAGTACCTGATCTGCACCCGGTACAAGTGGCTCATCATCAAGATCGTGCTGGCGCTGCTGGGGCTGCTCATGCTGGCCCTCTTCCTCTACAGCATGCCCGGCTACATGGTCAAGAAGCTCCTGGGTGCGTGAGGGCCACCACCTCCTGCCGGCTTCACTCCCCACCTCTCCTGGGGAGCCCATTTCACTCCTCTGCCTTCTGCCTGCTGGGCTGCCTTCTTCTCTGCCCCCCAGCTGCTGCTCACCAGGTCCTGCCCCTCTAATGCTGCCTGATGGGGGGGGGCATGGGAAGGGGCACCTGGACTGCCCCACCGTGCTGAGGCCCCACTTTTAGGCCCTGGCTCCTGAGGAGGCCACCCCAGGCCTTCTCAGTCTAGAATTAAAACTTCCTGAAAGTAACCAAGGACCGTGGGCCAGGACTTGGGCTATTGAAAAGAATGAATGAGTGAAAGGCATCCCACCTTGTCCCTGCCAGTGGCACCAACCTTGGATGTGCATCTGGGGCCTGGACCCAACCCTCAATCCACAGATGGCTGTTTCTGCCCACTGCCAGCTCTGCCAGCTCCTCCACCACCTAGGCAGCCACTCCAGCCTGGGTGCACAAGCCCAGTCCCTGTCCTTCTTGGGGTTCTGTTGCTTCCCAGAGCTCTGTCTGCCCAGGCCAGTGCTCCCACACCCAGACGGGCAGTGAGAAGCAGGAGCCATGAACCCCGTGGCCTCCCTAGCTCAAGCTGCCCCTGCCTTCTGTCCCCATCAGGTGCAGCTTACATTCAGGTGCTGCCCTGCCAGCATCTGGGTTTCTGTGGCTGTCTTTTCCTCTTCTTGGTTGGTGATGTTTCCCTTAATAAAAGAAATCAAATGCTGAGCTGACTAGTCTGCATCGGTGAGGTAGAGGAGAGCCACAGGTTGAGGGGCCAGGGTAAGCAGGGCACTAGGCTGGAAGCTCAGTACCAGCTGGGCCTAGATGGTTTTTCTCCTTTGGGTGGCCTCTCATGGCCCAGGGTTCAAGATGGACCTCAGGCCTCATACCACAGCCCAAAAAGCACACCAGGGTGGACTCAGGGACCCCAAAAGCACCAAAAATGTCCATTAGGCCTGAGGACAATCTGAAAGCTTAAGACTCCATGAGGGCTCAAAAGTGCCAGTCTCCACCCAGAGAAACTGGCTGTCACCCAAAGCAAGGAAGGAGCTCTATGCTGCTGGGCCTCTGCTTCTGACACACCATGATCTAAGCCTAGGACAAAGCCCTCTATGACACATAGGTGGAAGCAAGGGCTCATGTCTCATTAGATCTGACCTCTTTAAAAAGATTCAGCCACAACATTTAAAACACTTTAATGATCATTGCAGGATACAGGTAACTCCTCCTTCTGCCTTATTTTGACTGGCTATAAAGACGACTCTGGAAAATCCAGATAACAGGCCCAGGTACAGTTCCCTGGGTGGGACGTGCCAGTCCCAGCACCAACGCCAGTGTCAGCCCTATCACATCAGCCTGCAGCGGGCCAGCTCTATTTTGTGGGCATCCTGAACACCTGGGTTGGAGGAACTTGAAGCTCAGAGTTTATCTGGAAAAAAAAAGAGTGACGGTCACCACATTGTTCCCAGGGCTCTCCTTTTTTGCAACTTATGTCTCTGGGGTCAGGTATACATGCCAGCTCCCCATGGGCCTCTAAACCCCAGCAAGCATGTCCTCCCCAGAGCTGAAAGGCCTCAGAAGCCCTCAGGCTGCCTTCCTTCAGAAGCCGAGCTGGGCCCTCTTGCTTAGCTTCTGCCCCAGCTAGCAATCTCTGCTAAGGTTCTTAATCTTCCCTCCCATCCCCTCTCTTTGATCCTTCCCTCTCCTCTTCTGTCATAATCCTAACCTGCCCTTACCGCCTCCTCCCCCATCCTCTCGTAAACAGAAGCATCCATGGAAGCAGAGACCACGCAATCCCCAAATACCTGAGTCCCATCACAGGCCAAATGCCATTATTATGCCCATGCCCAGCATATCCCCCTTTCAGGTGTGGCCTGAGACCTAAGACCTCACTGGGACTACACATCCCCTGTGCTTGTACTCAGGGCTGGCCTTTGTTGCTTCATGTGTGCAAACTGATGGCTTTGTCAGGATCCTCCTAGGCCACAGCCCAAGCATCATGTGAAGGACCAACACCCACAGCGTAGAGCAAGCAGCGGCTAGTAAAAGTCTTTTTCCTTCTTCCACTAGGCCAGGGGAAGGTGCCAACCCTGTGAATGCCCCCCCGATGTCCCTCCCCCTACGCAAGGAGGTATCACAGCCAGAGAACCTGGCCTGGCAGAGTGGAAAGGGCCTCCTGGATTTGATTCTCTTTGTGAAACACGGAGGATAATTTCCACCCTAGATACCTCTCGGAATTGTTGTTAGGATGAAAGAAGAAAATATAGCTGAGAGCCCTATCTATGAAGCTATTCCTGGCTTTGCTTTAAAAAGAGTGACCTAACAGGAACCTGGAACCCCAAACCACCAGCATCAAAGGACTGTCACACCCTAGATGCCCTGGAGGAGGCTTCAGGTGATATCCACTACCTCGCCCAATAATCATCTCAACTTGAAGTGCCATCGTTGATTTTTACATCATGGCTGAAAGTTCCCCTGCCTTGAGTAAGGGAGGATACTCTCCTTTCCTAGGCAGCCTCCCTGCCTCCCACCCTCTGAACCTCCAACGAGGGCCCCACCACCCACCTTGGAGTCCAGATACTGTTGAAGCAGCATCTGGAGTTCTGTGTTCTGCTGCTCCAGAGCCTCATTCTCCATCAGCAGCTTGGCCCTCTGGGTTAGCACAAGGCTTTGGGCATAAAAATAAGTTAGAAGCCATTGAATCCTCTAGCCTCTGCCAAGCAGGGGTCTGTGCTTCTGTTCACGTTGGAGGTGGTAAGAGACCCCAGAAGCCTCACATTTCACCTGGCCACCAGATGAGCCAGGCTAGCAGGCATAGACCAGGTGGGACAGGGCCTAGAGCCAGCTGCCCAATGCAACCCACTCCTACAAGAGGTGCCACAGCAGCTCTTCAGTCCCAGGATTCACGGGACAGAAAGGCAGCACACGTGGCCATACCAAACAGCCATCTTCATCTACCTGCTGCCCCTTCCTGGCCCATTCCATTTACACTTACTGGTATTTCTGCAAGGCTGTGTAGAAAGCATCCCAGAGATTCTGCTTGGTGGGAGGGATAACCGTGGTCAAGGCCAGCCAGTACTCAGAGTCCTTGGAGTCATTGCACTCAACCTTTGGCACCCTCACTGGTCCCCTCAATTCCCTGCAGGTCAAAAGCACACCATCTCCACCTGGTTCTGCCTAGGCGCCCGCACGCAGTGCCAGCCACAGACTTATTGCCTCCCCACTTGTCATCATCCTACTCTGCTGTGCACATTTATTAGGTGATGGCAAAGTCTCAGAGAAGACGTGTTTGTCATCAATGTTCCTGACTCCCAGTGCCACTGCCACATTGTGACAGTGTCACTGGTGTTTCATCCATTCCCTTCCTCCCAATCATTTACCTCACTGGCTAACAACTCGTTGCTGTGCCCATTTCCTCCACCAGTGCATCTAGAACAGCTCTCGATTCCATCACGTCCTCTCCATCCCCTCTACAGCAGCCTAAATCCAGGAGATCATCGCCTCCCACCTGGACAAGTCTCCCCACTCACCCAACCGTTTGCTCTGTATCCAGCATCACCGCCCACCACAACCCTGTCACCAAAGTGATCTAAGACACAAATCTAATTGTGACTGCCCCCTCTGTCCACCAGGAAGTAAAGACAGAGATCTCAGGTGCATTGAGTAAGGATCACCTCCCAGACCCTAGAACTCCAGCCATACCTCCATCATGACTCTTAAACATCTAGGCCTTCCTTGTGTTATTACATCTCCAAATGCCCTTTCCTCTACTCTATCATCCTAGGAACACCCAGTTCCAGCACCACCCAAAAGCCTCTCTGACATGCCAGAAAGAGATGCCCACTTCCCTCGCTGAACAACATTACATCTTGAATATGCTTTGACTTTGTCCTGATCACGAGGCATTATCCCACAGTGCCTTCACGTGGCAGACTAAAAGAAATGTTTGTTGAATGAATGAATGGTGATTGGAAAAGGCACAGATCATTCACCACTACACCACGTTTTGTTCATGAGTATATATGTTGACCTTTCTTGCCTTCCTCGAGAGAGCCACTTACTCTCTCCCACATGTCCTGTCCAGTCCCTCTCCTCTCACTAGCTCTGCTTGGCTACCGGGCCAAGCTGGCTCCCTGGGCTCAGGCAATCCTTCTAGCACATGGCAACACACCTAGGCTTATTCACACCCATGACAAAGGCCTCCAGGGTCTTGAGGACGTCATTGGGGTGGATGAGGTTGGGAGAGGGCGGGCTCTCTTTCTCTTCTTCCTGCTCCACCTGCTCCACCGGGCTCTCCTCCTGTTCCCCCTCCTCCACGAGGCTCTCCTCCTGCTCCCTGTCCTTCACCAGGGTCTCTTCCTCTTCCTCCAGCATATCCATCTCCTGTTCTGACACCACGCTCAACTGCTGCACACTTGCTTGAAGGGGGGGCTTGGCCTGGAGAAAGGTGCAGAGGCAGCTTTGGGTAGGAGATACACAGCATGAGTGTGTGAAGAGAGAGAGGCTGAGGAAAAAAGCAGGAAAGCTTGCAGAAAGTAACAGAAAGCATGCAGAGGGAGACATTTACACAAAGACAGAAATACGAGAAAGAGCGGAAGAAAGGAATGGGACTGGGGAGGTACTAGCGACTTCAAAACAACAATAATGGTCTATTTCAGATCTGGGATCACAGGTGTTCTTGTATTGATACTCATAAAGCTTACATTATTGATCTCTTTTTGAATCATAACATCAATTAAATTTTAATTTTTAAATTTAAAAAAGTCTTCTTCCTACTCCTGCTTTGCATGTCATTCAATTTACCTGCCACAGGCAAAACTAATTTTATTGTTTCTTATGTTTCCTTCCAAGGAAATACACCTATATAAACAAATACATACATAAATACATATTTTTTTCTTCTCATTTTTATATAAATGATACCCATATTACACATGTAGTTCTATACTTTGCTCTTTTCAAATACCAGGAAACCTTAGAGACCTTGTCACATAAATTCATAAAGAACTTCTCTGGTATTTTTCATAATAGTATCCCATTGTGTAGATGCGTGTATACACACACATACACACACACACAGAGATATATATATATATATACAGTGTATACAGTTTTGTAATTGATACTTAAAAATTACCCTCAGGGGAGGTTACAACAATTTACACTCCTACCAGCAACTTATGAGTGTGCCTGTTTCCCACACCTCAATCACTGCTGTATGTTATCAAGCTTTCAGATTTTTGATAACCTGACAAGTGAAAAATAGAATTAGGGAAGTTTTAATTTGTATTTGTCTTATTATAAGTAAGCTGGTTGTCTTTTCATGTGTTTAAAAGTTATGTATTGCCTCTGCTAGGAGGCATTCATTCATATTTGTTATCTGTTCCATTGAGTTGTTGGTCTTTTTCTTATTGGTTTATGAGAGCTCTTTATATATTAAGGAAATTAGCCCTTAACTATTATATGACTTGAAAATATTTTTTCCCAGCTTGTTGCTTATCTCTTAACTTTATCTATTGTGACTTTCGCCCTATAGAATTTAATATTGGCAAATCTATCTTTTTTTCTTTTATGGCTTTTTGGTTTAGATATTGGCAAATGTATCTTTTTTTATTTCGTGGCTTTTTGGTTTTGTCCACTCAGTTCTCCCTTTTTGGAGCTATCTATATCAGGGTATTTACCCTTAGGATAGAAATACTAAAAATATCTTTTTAATTCAGATCTTTAAATTAAAATTTCAAAAACAATTTAGTATGGTGACTTTTTCAGAATAGTGGATATGTGATTCGCCTACTACAATCAAGATATGTATTACAAATGGGTCCTGTTTCGCAAGAAAGTGTTTGAGGACCAAAATATGCAGACTTGGTGGGGTCTGGTCTCAACATGGTTGAGACTTGGTTTTGAGGGAAGGTACAGAAAGATCTCTTGGGACTCAGTATGAGAATAGCATCTCACCTCCCAGCTGTTCTTCTCTTTGCAAATAGAAAAATTAATAATAAAGAAAATGCTAAATTAGCTAGACCCAACATAAAACCCCTACTATTTCTCCTGAAGTATTATTCAAAGGCAGCAACGTCCTCTGGGGCTTCAAGAGAACTTAAAATGCTCTCTTCTTAGCTGCACCTCACCTTACCTGGCTGATGGACAGATGATGAGCTCGGTATTTAATGAAGAAGTTCACCAGTTTATACAAGTCATCCTCACTTTCAATTCCAAGGGCCTGGGGAAAAATAGGATGGTTGCTCAAACATCCCATCAAAGAGGCCACAGGTTTGGGGAGTTAGACTCTCAGCTAACTCAGCTTCTAAAAGCAGGAGCTCGGCTTGTCTTCCCACCACCCCTGCTGCCTGCCATGGCCCAGAGTAGAGGACAGTCAGCCAACAGTGGGAAACTATAGTGAAATCAGGGACACATCTGTCAGAACAGATGGAAATAATGCTCCTAGTTGCAAATCACTCTTTACAGATCTGGTGGGCATGAGAACGCTAAAGGGTGCTGAACACATTCCTGAATTGGGGAGTGGAGAGGGAACCTACAATCTAACAGCTGGGCCATGAGAGGAAGAAGCTAGGAGAGAAGGGGTCGGGGGGGAGACACATGAATGCTCTGAGGCCAATAGTCATGGCAAGCATGCAAAAGTGAGCCCAGAAGCCCTGAGAGACCCTCTTCTATCCCTGGGGCTGAAGCAATGTTGGGAACACATGGGTGTTCTCTTGGAATGGGACGGGCTGCACCCCACCCTGTCCCCTCAGACCATGGGACTCACGGAGAAGATGGCGTCCAGCCTCAGCAGATAGCACTCGCTCTTCTCCAGGGGAAGGAGGAGGCTTAGCAGCTTGCTCTCTATGAGGAAACCCTGAGAGAGGGAAGGAAGCATCGGGCTTCAGGAAGGAGTCCCTGGGTTTGCAGCTGCCCTATAACACCCCAAGGAGGAGCCCACTGGATGAAACTCAGGGCAGTGGCCCCCAGAAGAAGGTATCCCTCATGGGATGCCTGAGAGCCATTCCCAGGGAGCCTGGCCAGGCACAAAGCACATCTTCATCAGAGTATGTCCCTCCTCATATGGAGGCTAACTCATCCCACCCACAAGCCCCTGGGCAGACACCTGACTTCCCACAGTAGTCCAAACCTGGCTAGTCACAGGCTCCCACCTCACCCACATTCTAGTCCTCAAATATCCACAGAGGCTCTGAGCTAGAAGGAGGAAGTCAGGGAGGGAGGTGGAGGCACCAAGTCAGAACATAATACATAGGAAGCAGGGGCAAGGATGGCTGGGAAGCCTGGGGAAGAACTGGGTGGGGGTGACCCTGATGTCAAGCTGCAGAGAAGGCAGGAGCCCATATGACTCCCTCAGCAGGAGTTGCCCTCACTAGCAGGAGCCAGTCCTTGTGCCAAAGAAAACTACCCCAATAACCATAAAATCTAAACCAGCACTAATCATGGCTGACCCACTAAGGTTAAGACCTATGTGCCAGCTGGGCCATCTCTAAGGCTGGCCTCTGTGAACTGCTCCCTGAGGTCCAGGGACCATTCCTAGGTCTGGTCCTCAGTCTGGGTCTCTGGGTTTAGCCAGGTTGGTCTGGTCCACTCCCAACTCCAGGCCACAGCTGGCCTAGCAGAGTCCTCAGAGACAGCACACAATTATGCATCCCTCTGCTGCAGCACCAACCCAGCCTCACCGACTCATCACACAGAAGCATCAGGATCTTCTTGGTAGTCTTGGCAGAAACTTGCTTTGGCAAGTCCAGGTAAGATGCTAGATCTGAGGCGGCCTCTTCTACCTCATCTTCTGCAGATGGGTCATAGAGGGAAGAGAGAGGAAAAAAGAAGATAATTCCTTGGCCTACTTGACTTTAGAAAGTCAGATTCCTTTCCTTGAGAAAACATACCTCTTTAGGCCTCTTGGAGGCATTACCACAGTCTCTATGTTGAAGAAAGCCTACTACACGGGGAAGAGGGGCTTAGGGATCAGAGTCAGAGACTGTTGGAGAAACTTGGCCATTACTCAGACAGCCTGCAATGTCTCACATTTCCAAATCTCATCTGCCTGGAAACATCACACTCAAAATCCAACCGTGAACCAGCAAGTGGGAGAGAGAGCCTTTTTATTCTTATTGTAGAGATAATCTAGCAAGTGAGCTGTATGGTTTCTGAACCTGCAATGAATTAGAAGTAGCCAACTAAAAGGTGGGGGGGGGGGTCCCTCACAAAGGGATATTATCAGTAAGAACTGACAGCACTAGGGGTGGGGACTCTGCGGCCTTCTGATTTCCAGAGATTTCAAGATTCTACATTTTTAAGCACCAAAGGAGACAAGAAAAACTTCATCTTTCTCTCCTGCACTCCTTTTCATAATGAAAGGATTTATGTAAAATTTGGATTCAGCCAAAGGCCTCATTTAAGGACCAGGGAGGCCACAATGTGACCTTAAGGCTGCAGGGTCCCCACACCTAGTGGTTTTTACTGGTTATTCAAAAAGTAAGATGAGGTCTCTATGAAAAGATTTTGCATAGTATAAGGTATCAAATTGCTGATGGGAATGGAAGATGGTAGCATCTCTCTGCAGCTATATCCAGCAAAATTACACAAGCATTATCCTTTGACCCAGCAATCCTACTTCCAGGGATGTTTCGCAACAGTTCACTAGCAAAAATATGAACAGACAAGTGAACAAAGCTACTACAACAGCAATGTTAGTGATCACAAAAATAAACTGGAAATACCCCGGTGATGACCAACAGAGGACTATTTGAATAAATTATGGCACAGACACACAATGGATGTACCATGTTAAAAAAAAAATGAAATTTTTTTTAATCACTAGAAAGAGCTCTAGGATTGTTGGATGTGAAAAAAAAAGCAAAGTAGAAAAAAATGTGCTTTCATTTACCTAAAAAATTGATTGATATGAATATATATCATGTATTTGTTGATAATTTTAAAAAGCAATGGAAGAATAAACCATACATTTTTTAATAGTTACCTGTAGGAGAAGAATGAAATTGGGTATAGAGAATAAAAGCTAGACTTCTTTGAATACATTCTATTTTGTATAATATAATATATTCTGTTTTGTGTATTTGACTTTTGTTTTTCTTTTTTTTTTTTTTGAGACAGAGTCTCACTTGGTCATCTTTAGTAGAGTGCTGTGGGGTCTTAGCTCACAGCAACCTCAAACTCTTGGGTTCAAGTGATCCTCTTGCCTCAGCCTCTTGAGTAGCTGGGACTACAGGCGCCTGCCACAACGCCCAGCTATGTTTTAAAGATGGGGTCTCGCTCGTGCTCAGATTAGTCAGGAACCTGTGAGCTCAGGCAATCCACCAGCCTTGGCCTCCCGAGTGCTGGGATTACTGCACCTGGCCTATCTTTGACTTTTGAACTGTAAATATTTTACATAATTATAAAACAAAATTAAATTGCAAAAAGTGATACCTAATAATCAAAAGTAAAATGAAACACCATAAATACATGCAACTATTATGCATCCATAATAATTAAAAATAAAATAATGTTTTTGTAAAAGTAAAGTGGGCCAGACATGGTGGTTCATGCCTATAATCCTAGCACTCTGGGAGACCAAGGCAGGTGGATTACTTGAGCTCAGGAGTTGGAGATCAGCCTGAACAAGAGTGAGACTCCATCTCTACTAAAAAAGGAAGGTTAGGGGTGGCGCCTGTGGCTCAAAGGAGTAGGGCACCAGCCCCATATGTCAGAGGTTCAAACCCAGCCCTGGCCAAAAACTGCAAAAAAAAAAAAAAAGGTTAGCCGGGAGTAGTGGTGAATGCCTGTAGTCCCAGCTACTCAGGCTGAGGCAAGAGGATCACTCAAGCCCAAGAGTTTGAGGTTGCTGTGAGCTATGATGCCACAGCACTCTATCCAGGGTAACAGAGTGAAACTCTGTCTCAAAAACATAAATTAAGGCTTGGCGCCTATAACTCAATGGCTAGGGCTCCAGCCACATACACCAAGGGTGGCGAGTTCGAACCCAGCCCAGGCCAGCTAAAATCAACAATGACAACTGCAACAAAACAACAGCCAGGTGTTGTGGCGGGCACCTGTAGTCCCAGCTACTTGGGAGGCTGAGGCAAGAGAATCATATAAGTGCAAGAGTTTGAAGTTGCTGTGAGTTGTGACACCATGGCACTCTACCGAGGATGACATAGTTGATAAGGTTGATAACCACAACAAACTAACACACATCAAATTTGTTTAAATCTATGCATTCAGAACAATACTTCTTTAAAAATCTCATTGGTAGATTGAAGATGCTAGAGAGCTAATCCATTATTTTGAAAACTGGCAAATAGATAAAAATAAGCATCTGTCCTGCTTTTCCTATACAAATTATCTCAGGATGGCAAATAGCTGATGAGGGGGAGTTTCTTTTTTCAGAAGTGTTCTAGCTATTAAATAAAGACACAGTGGTAGAATTTAAAATATCACCACTTGCAAACCCTGATGCAATTAATGGAGATTATCAATGGTTGCTAACATCACAAAGAGAGATATAACCGGATACTTGTTTATCATGACGAAGTCCCCAACAGTGTACTTAGCAAAAATAAAGTAAACCTGCATCTGATCAAGCTGCTAGACCTAACTACCGGTTTATGATAGAGAGGTAATTCAAAGCCATATCAACTAATCATGCTCTACCACTCTTAGCTATGAGGCTTGCTCTCCTCATCTGGCCCCTCCAGCTCTAGGTTTCTGTGACTCTGTCCCAGTCACCTGTTTGCATCAGCACCTCCTCCACTACCTGGGTGGCACTCTTCTGTGGCTGCTGGGAGAGAGGCCCCACGTTCTTCAGAAACAAGAAGTCAGGTTCTGTCCAGGGGAGCCCCAGGTGGTGGGTGTGGATGATCCTGTCTACAGCAAAGGCTCTGCTTATTAGATCCTTCGCCTCGTCTTCATTCATCAGCCAAATCTCCCGAAACTTCTTCTCATCAATAAGAGCAAAATGCCTGTGAAGGAGAGTCACCATGCACGGCCCGCTGACCCCAGGGAGGTCAGTTGTCAAGACGGAAGCAAAGTGAGGAAGAGTTGTGGTGAATCCTGGGCCTGGAGCCCGGCCCCATCCCTGGGCGGATGATTCCCACCTATGACAAATTGGAAGCTATCCCAGCAAGCCTTTAAAAAAAGGTGACACTTAAGTAAAGGGACAGGGGAATAGAGCACAAAGGCCTCTTCATCAAGAGCTAATGAAATCACTGCTACCACAAACTCTAGCTCCTCCACCTCTAGTCCTGGACAGGTGCCAAGGGCCCACGTCCCTAAGATACCTCATGGCTTTCTGTAGTTCCTTGAATTGCATCACAAGGCGCTTGTAGTCCAAGGTGAGGGACTGGTTCTCCTCCTGAAACTGCTTTATCTGCTTGGCATATTTTGATCTCAGATTGTTAAGTACATCATTCAGGCTGGTTGAAGGGGGAAAAAAAGTTAGTCTGCCGCTGAATAGAAGGTGTAATATATGTTGCTCCCATCTACCTGGCTTAGCTCTACAGCAGATGTGTGGAAGGACAGAGAACCCACCCACAGGTTCCAAAGGTAATAGGATTATCCAGGACTAAATGCACATGAAACAAGCCACCAGCCCACACCTACCACACTCCTACCCAGGAGTGTGACTGAAACGTCACACTGAAACACACCATTTACCAGTGTCCATACCTAGGGCCAACCTCACATATTTAAATAATCTGTCTCAATTATTTCATTGTCATGATTTGGATGCTCATTTCTCTTCTGAAACAAGAAAAATTGAAAGGAAAAAATTAAAACAACAGCTATGATATATGAATCCTTCATCTTCAAAGACCTGATACTGTAAAAGGTCCAGTAACTCATCTATTCATTCATTCATTCACTTACTCATTCAAACACAAAATGCTTTTATGCCAAGGATACGATGTGGATTTGAATACAAAGACTCCAGTCTTTGTCCAGTTGAAGACAAAGACAAACACTAACTGGAGAGCAGTGTGGAAAGTGCTATAGGAGAGGTTCACACGGTGCCAGGGGAGCCCAGAAATGAGGCATCTCACTTCCCTGGCTTGCCAGGAAGGGGACAGCCAAAGGCATCAGAACAGCAAGAAATGATTAAGACCTGGCCAATAGCATTCTGACTCCAGGCATGGCCCAGTTCACCACTTCACTGCTAACAGCAGCTCTGTGCAAGAAAACTTGTCCCATAAAATATTCATGGTGGGAACAGTTTTTAGACCTAAGACCATACTTTGGACATCAAACTATTGAAGAGGCATCTTATATCAATGCCCTATTTTCACAGAGAAGCTGAAGACCAACATATTTTAAGTTTAAAATTCTAAGAAATAAAATTTTCCCTCTCCTCAGTATTATTCTGAAGTAATCAAAAGGTCCCTTACCCACAAGCATTTATCATTCATATTCTCACCCTCAATAAAATGCAAAAAATCTTTAACTTACTCTCTGATAAAAAGAAGTATCTAATTCATTCTCTTAAATGCAGCATTCTGGGAGGCTTTCCAAATACTGGTCTTAAAATTTTTTCTTTTTCTAAGTAGTCATCCCAAAGCATTTTTCTCAGTATCATGCAATAAAGGAGTTCCAATGTGTCATCTAATTATAGAAGCTAATAAAACAAAAACAAACCCCGAGCACATAGGAAGGCCTGGGCAAGATAGCAAGACAGAGGGGACAGGAAGAAGGGCCCCCAAAGGAAGCACAACAAAAAAAGTACAGAGTCCTTAGCAACTGGCTGGAAGCCAGACATGAAGGGAGCAAGGCTGGAGAGTGCAAGCTGGGAGCAGAGGCAATTCAGAAACTGTCTGCTGGCAGTGACTCTCCAAGTGGAATTGTTACATTGGCGGCTCCAGATAAAGTGAAGAGGTGAGGTCAAGATTAGGGATAGGAAGCTGGCACTCATCCACAAAAAGGTGGTCTTCAAAACCATGAGGTTGAGGTATAAGGCAGATGGAATAAAAAGCAAAAAAGAGTAAGTGAAGACTAGACTATGTTATCTAGATATTCAAGATATATCAGGAAAGGAAAAGCAGAACCACCAAAGGAGACAAATAAAGAATAAATTAAGAAAGAAGAACCAATATTTTAGGGTCATAAAAATCAAGAGGTTGGGCACTGTGGCTCACGCCTGTAATCTTCGCACTGTAAGTGGCTGAGGCAGGTAGACTGCTTGAGCTCAGGAGTTCGAGACCAGCCTAAATAAGAGGGAGACCCCATCTCTACTAAAAATAGAAGAAATTAGCCATGCATTGTGGCAGATGCCTGTAGTCCCAGCTACTCAGGAGGCTGAGGCAAGAGAATCACTTGAGCCCAATTAGAGGTTGCAGTTGTGATGACACCACTGCACGCTAGTGGGGGCAGTACAGTGAGGACCATCACTAAAAAAAAAAAAAAGAAAGAAAAGAAAAATCCAGTATTCAATAATAATAAGATAAGGAAAAGCCATGGTGTTTGGCTAGAAGGGCATCACTGATGTCCTGTTGTGGGAAGTGTTTATCATGAATCCTGGGATCATGAACTGCTGTGGTTTGTATTTGTCTCCTCCAAAATTCAGTACTGCCAAGGTGATCATATTAAGATGTGGGGCCACGAGGGCTCCTTCCCTGTGAATGGGATTGAGGCCCTTACAAACAAGGCTTCACGAAGCCTTTTGCTAGCCTGCTCCTTGGCTCTTCTGCCACAGGAGGACACACATTCCTCCCCTCCAGGTACAGCCCTTCTCAGAAGTGGAACCAGCCAGCACCTTGATTAGAATTCCCAGCCTCCAGAACTGTGA